TTTTTTCTTTTCCTGGTCACTAATTGCAATCTTATCTTCTATATCTGAAATTCTGTCCTCACATTGGCCCATTCTGCTGTGTAAACTTTCAATGGAGTTTTTCATGCCCTGGAAATCTATTTGCATCTGTTTTATGGATTCCATTTGTTCCTTATGTTGGGATTCCATCCTGTTCCTCAGCTCTTCTCTAGATTTATTAATCACGTCGTGCACTAGGGGCACAATTTCTCCTGTTATTTGAGAAATTATTTCTGATTTCATTTTTTCCAGATCCCCTTTTGTTGCCAGTTCAGTAGGTCCAGGTGGTGGAGTATCAGTGTTCCATCTCATTTCCCTTTGGGGTTGCTGTAGGTGATCTGGAAATCCGGTTTTGAGACTTATTTATGTGTTTTCTCAGTTTGACTGGGGCGGGGAGCTGTTAACGCCTTCACGGATTACCTCCTCTGAGCTGGGTGAGGTGGGACAGGGGCTGGGAGCAGCGGTAGGATGGTGACCCAAAAGCCCTTTCCTGTGGGCTTGGAGCAGCAGTAGGGATGGTGGCCTGGAAGCCCCTTCCTCTGGGCCAGGAGCAGTGGGCCAGAAGGTGGCCCAAAAGCCCTTTCCTCTGGGCTGGGAGCAGCAGGAAGGATGGTGACTGGGAAGCCCCTTCCTCTGGACCAGGAGCAGTGGGACAATGGCTCAGAAGCCCCTACCTCTGGGCCAGGAACAGCGGGACTCAGTACCTTGGTCTGGTGGTCTGGTGTCCTCTGCGTCTTTGTAGTGTGGAACCAGGTGGCTGCTTGTCTGCCGCAGGGTGATTTGGTGTCTTCTGCGCGACTCAGGACCTTGGTAGGGCATGCACAGACCTCCCTGTGTGCAGCGGGCTGATTCGGTGTGTTCTGTGCAACTCAGGACCTCGGTATGGCGTGCACAGACCTGCCTGTCTGCAGCGGGCTGATTCGGCATGTTCTGTGCGACTCAGGACCTCAGTAGGGCATGGGCAGACCTGCCTGTCTGCAGCGGGCTGATTCTGTGTGTTCTGTGTGACTCAGGACCTCCGTAGGGCATGGGCAGACCTGCCTGTCTGTAGCGGGGTGATTCGGCATCTTCTGTGGGACTCAGGACTTCGGTAGGGCGTGCACAGACCTGCCTGTCTGCAGCGGGCTGATTCGGCGTGTTCTGTGCAACTCAGGACCTCGGTAGGGCATCTATAACTTTTTGATAAATACACTAGGAAAATTATTTCTGGTAAATTACGTACATCATACAATCCCTTTTCATTATGAAAAGGTTAGTTAAAGGGTGCATTGGGAGGTTCAGAATGCATTATGGGTATTTCCATTCTTTCTTATGGGACAAACAGGCTTGACTTAGAATCAATTTGAATTACAACCAGCCTTCACAAATGAATTGAGTTTGTGAGTCAAGATTTATAAGGATCCACTGTAACTTATTTCAGAAACATGCTCCTGATCCAAAGCACCTGCATATCAAAGAGAATGTCCCCACAAGAAATAATGGAAACTAAAATGATTCGTTCTACAACCCAAAAATATTCATATAAAATGATTACAATATTGTAAATATAATACAAAATAGTAAAGAAAAATTTAAAATATAAACAAAAATAAACCTTTGAAAACCCTCGTGGCTGGTGTGAGGGAGACACAAGACAGGAAGGTTATTGTGTAGAATGACTTTCACTATCACTTATGGAATCACTGCTATCTATTGACTCAATAGAATTTTTTTCTTTTCATGCAACTTTAACAAGGAATCTATCCAATGACACTTGCTTTTTTGCCTTTTTTTGAGGATTTCACAGAAATGTGACACTGCATTGTCACTAAACATATTCATCACACACTTCCACAGGCTTATTTAGGTAATGATTTTCTACAATATTTTGCATTTTTCCCATGTTTTACATATCTTCCTAATCTCATTTGAAATGAAGGATTCCTCTGCTTTTTTCTCTTCTTTTCCTAGTGAGATCTCATCCATTACCTCTTGCTAATTTATCAAGTTAAAACTTATTAAAAATGTTTGCTTACCTTGCACAAAACTCAGAAAATAAGTAACTCAAAATCTATGGTTTTACTGTATATGCAATGAGAGAAACAAAGTTAGGAACAGGAAAATGAACTAAGAGATTATTCCAGTAGATCAGGTAGGAAATGAAGATTTGAAAGTAGTGAAAATTGAAACTGAGATAATAATAAGTTGATAATAATAAGTTAATAAAATAATAAGTTGATTGAAGTTTATTAATTATGAGATAACTATGGGTCATTCAGATGAATTTATACAGAAGTTAATTGGAAAAAATTATCTTAACATTCTGCTTCTTACACAGAGGTATATCCATAAAGAATTGGTGGACTTCATTAAGATTAAAAATGTCAGCTCTGTAAGTGGATGTACGTTGAGGCCATACTCTTAAGTGAAATAAATAGAACACACGTGTAAAAACAAAATAGTTTCTATGGTGTGAAAAACTAAAAGTGTAAATAAGGATAAGAATGTATACTTCATATTGTGAAATAGGAAGAAAATGTCTAAAGGAGTAGGGGAAGTGGGAGGGTAGGGGAAAGGAAAGAATGGAAAAGAAAAAATATGAGAAAAGGAAAAACATGCAAACAAAGTCTTTGTAAATAGGGAAGGGTGGAGGGGGTGAAAGGAGAACAGGGGAATGGGGAGAAAAAATAAGAAACAAGATACATTATGTAAAGGTACAAGATCCCAATGATGAATGTAACTGTATTGTATACCTAAAATGTACCAATAAACTAAATGGAAAAAAGAATGTCAGCTCTGAAAATACACTGTGATATGACAAGCCACAGGCTGGAAGAAAACATTTGCAAACTACACATCTGATAAAGGACTCCCTATTAGTCATTTTCCTGCCACTGGGATAAAATACCTGTACAACTTGAAGAAGGATAGGTTTATTTACCTCACAGTTTCCAGTGGGTTCAGTCCAAAGTGGGCAGGCTTCAAGGCAGAAGCAGCATGTTGGACGGGATGATAAAGGGCATCTCTCATCCCATGGCATCCAGGAAGCAGAGAGAGAAAAAGGAAGAATTGTGGACAAGAGTATACTCTTCCAGTTCACACCCCAAGTAACACACCTCCAAGCAGGCTCCAATTCCTAACAGCATGTTCAGCTACTTAACTTGCCAATGGATGAATACACTAATGAGTATAACACTCCATGATCCATTCACATTCCAAACATATGAAGCTTTTGGGGAGTCAGATTAGATCTAAACCATAACATACTCCAAAATATGCAAAGAATTTTTAAAACACACCCAAAAAACCAATCTGACTTAAAAATGGGCAAAAGACTTGAACAGACACCTCACCAAAGGACATATTCATAGCCAATAAGATTATAAAAAGATGCCCAACATCATATGCCATTAAAGAATTACAAATTAAAACAATGAGAAATTTCTACATGCCTATTAGAAATGCAAAAGCCAGAATACTTGCAATACCAAATGTTAGTGAGTATACGATGCAATAGGAACTCTCATTGTTTTGGGGAATGTAAAATGGTATAGCCATTTTGGAAAACAATTTTTTGCATCTTTAAAAAGTAAACATACTTTTACCATACAATCCAGAAATTGTGTTCCTTGGTATTTACTCAAAAGAGTTGAAAACATATATATCCACAAAATCCCATAGATAAATGTCCATAGCAGCTTTGCTCCTAACTGCCAAAACTTGAAAGCAATTACAATGCCCTTCAGTAGGTTGAGTAAATAAAA